ATTTGAGAGGAATTTCAAGGAAAAAACTGTTCTTGTCCTACACGATTTTGAATACTTTTTCTGTAAGTTTTCCAAACTTTCGGACGATTTAAATAAATGTATTGTGATAAGCATGCGTATTTTTGTTCCTAATGCTCACCCGACTGACACTCGTCATTCGCTACAATATAATAAATATACTGTTAAATAAGTTCGTAAGCAACTAAAGAAGTTCTAATATTTTTTTTGTATTGTAGTTCAGATAAATTTAGGTTAAACATGATCGAATTTTTACGTAAGTCAATTCACATTTCGTATTGATCTTCGTATCTTCTTTAAAACAGATAAAAGATATTGTTAAACTTCAAATTACTACAATGTACTGTGAGTAGAACCGAAAGCGAACCACCTTGATCAATTTTTGATTTAATGATTGAATCTTCACGTTCTAGAACTCAATTTTAAAGGTTCGATTTTCCTTGCATTCGGATTTCTGGCCCCCGTGTGGTTTCTCCATGTCTCGAGAATATCTCGCCATATCATTTTGTGTACTTGACTGTATCTCGAGAATTTTTCAAGCGAATCCAAAAGTTTTTCCACGGTATTCAAAAACATATTTATGTAATAATAATAAAATATACTTTTTAGTATATATTAGTTTTTTTTCCTCAATTAATAATAGTCGAAAAGATTATAGATAGTAAGGTACACAATATTTTCATTTTTTACAGAATATAAATTTACAAGGTAAAATACAAAATTTGAGTGAAATCGGTTGAATAGTTCTTGGGAAATCAACTTTTCATAAAAAGTTTTTTTTAAATTTGATTTTGTTTAAACATAATAAAATACATTAAACACTAAAATGGAAACTGTGAAAATATATCTTAAGGACTGGAGAAGTTAAGCTGTCTGTTTATTTGTACTAGTAAAACGTTGTATTAAAATGCATAAGATACTAAACGCATTTTTTTCAAAGAAAAAGAAATACCTCTCATACTGTGAAAAATTATAACATTTGGAAGATAAATGTAGATCAGGGGGGAAAACGGTATTTGTATAAAATCATTTTTCACAAAGATGGTGATTGAATCTGCCTCTGTTGCTTTGCTGAAGATTACTAACTTTTGATAAATCGATGACGTGAGAAATCAGTTCTCTCTGAAAATAATTGCACAGTAAAAATAGGCCGTGTTGAAGAAAAACGCTTCCTCTCCGCGTTTAGATTTGTTTTTTCCAAATAAGTTTTCATGGACATGGTAGATTCAGTTCTCATGAACTGTTCTTTCTTCTTTGATTTCAAATTTCAACTTGAACACAAGAGGCAGCCTCGCGAAAACTCTGAAAGAAATTATGTTTTCTATTTTCTGATTCTTTTCTTAATAGACTTTTACCCTAACAAGCCCAAAAATTTTATTTTATAATATTTTAACTGCTCTAACACAGTCAAATATCTATTTCAATTATAATATATACATTTGTAGCAACATAGAAATACACAAGATTTCGAACCTTGTCTGTGATATGTGTTCTTTCTTTTCCTTCAATTTTCAAAAATTTTTTCCATTTACGTTCGATACATCTACTTAATACTGAGAAATACACAAAATTTTAAAATTGGTTTGAGATCTTTTTTTTACGCTGTTAATTATCTATTTGAATTATGATCGATACATTTACACTGTAAAAACTGTGGTGTAATACCTATTCGATTTCGGTGAAGAATTTTATTGTGACCGATTTTATTACTTCAAGTTAATACCGAATCGAGCTTTCATACATACTTCAGACGTTCTAGTTAAATCTTAACACTAATAATTAATGACGCTAACACCAGCAAGTTTAGATGTTTTAACAACATTCATGATTGAAAACAGACCGGAGAATGTGTTGCTGTCGTATTTGAGTGCTTCGTGAATTTTGGGGAAAAAAGGGTAAATTGCGATTTAATTCACTTTAAAAGCGACGTAATCGATGATAGAAAACTCAAAATACACTTAATGAGTGAGTTCACTTAATTATCAAAATAAATTCTAAAAATACAAACTCTTTTAATTTTGGATCTATGCTGGCGGACATCAAAGCCTAACTATGCTTAGCTATTGACCGCATTACCTAAAGGCGATCAAGTTCCACGATCATAGTCAATTATTTACCAAGTAATTTTAATCTTTTAGTCGGATTGTTTTAAACAAAGTATTATAAAAAGGTTTTTTTTTTTGTTTTTTTTAAATAATAACGATATTTATGTTCTCATAAGCTTTACATAAATGCCTTAATTGAGTCAAATTATTTTGTAACATTTAACTTTTATTCACTTCGGGTTTTTTTCACTTTGTTCGAATTCATATGAATATTTTTTCTGTTTTGTGTGAATATTTGATTACCAAACTAATTTTACTTTAAGAAAATGTAGCTATATATGCATCCTAAGTTAATTAATATTACTTTATCGTATGGCAAAAAGAACTTAATTGACCACTAGTATAATATTTCACAGTAATTAATTCAAATTTAAATTTGAGTGTTACTGATTAACAAAGACAATGACGGCTACTTTACACCAAGCAGTATAATAAGAACATTCTTCTTGTTTCAGAACATTCTTCTTGCTTCGTTATCGGTGTAGTTCCACTTTGGAGTAAAGAAGGATTTTTGCAGTATTCTTACATTTTAGAAATATTTAAGATATCCAATTTTGTGTGCGTCATGTAATGCTTAAATAACAATTTGAACTGCTCGGGAGATTTTAAATAAAACTTCAATTTCACTGTTTTTTTTTTTTTTTTTTTTTTTTTTTTTTTTTTTTTTTTTTTTTTTTTTNTTTAACTTATTGGAATTCGTGAATTTTATCGTTTGAACGTATGTTTTTAGAAAAATTTATCATATCTATCAGTGCATCATTCCCTTATTTATCCCCCATTTATTCCTTTGGAAATTACATCGGAGTTGGGTTAAGTGCATTTAAGTACGGTGGTCAACCTTTCTTAATGACTTATATAATAAAATTTCTTTCATTTATAGTGCATTAAAATGAGCATTTAGCGCCAAAAAATCTTAATCTACTGCAATTTTTTTTCTATTTTCAATAAATACGCAGAAATAAAGTTTCAAGATTTTCTCATAGTGTTTTTTCAGATTATCTTATACTGTAAAAAATTAAAAAAGAAAAACTCTTTCGTAATTACTTTTAATCATTCATTTATTAAACATTTTTGCTCTTCAATGTAATTACAAAAGTATGTCTTAGAAAAAAATGTATGTAAGATCCTAGCATTTTTTATGCATATCATGTTGATACTTTACAACAGCGGTACTTATGGTGCTCGGTGGAACCCTAGGGTTCCGTGGGAAATTTCAAGAGGTTTCATGAGTAAGTACTGCTTAAAACCAGTGATGAGTTTTGAAACCTCTGATTATAATTAGATCCAACCAATAATCCATAATTTATTTAACCTTGCACCTGCCCTTATGAAATTAATTCATCTAAAATACCAATGAAATAGAAATGGCATTTTTAAAGGAAAATATGATATTTCTTATAACAATGTATTAAACAAGTTTTGAAAAAATAAGCATTTCTAAAATATTAAATTTATATTTCCTTACGGCGCTTTTCGAAATCAATTTTCTAAATTCTTTAATAAAGAATCATGTTTCCATAATAACTATTTTCCTTATTTTAATGATTTTCAGCTTATGTATATACACCAGAAACAAGTTCATAAATAGGCTAGATAATTTACAAGAACTGCAAATTTAACTATCGGACATAAAACCTAATTTAAGGAAATTAATGATAAAAAGGATGAAAAATCTTCATCCCTCTAATTAAATATTTTAAATATAGTATTTTTTGGGTTATAATGTTCACAATTAACTTGACCTTTATTTATAAAATTTGCGTTCTGTCGAAAAAAGATTGAAAATTTAGGGTTCCATAGGCGAAAAAAATTGAGAACCACTGTTTTCAAAAGTTTATTTTAGATGCGAAATATTGAACATTTTATGATTTTAGTCATTTTTCCGTCATCTATACCTATTATTTTTATTTATTTAAATATTTTGGGGAAATTAAATACATTATAAGTAAACTTAAAAATACATTAAAGTACCATATTTACAAGAAAAATTGTATGAAAATTTGCAGTATTTAATTTGAGGTATTAATTCTATTTAAACTTTTAAGAAAATATTTTACATTATTATATAGAGCGTGATTTATTTTATAACCGTTGTTGAACAGCCTACCCATTTTTGACCCAACTACCAATCTTCAACTCCGCAACCTTGTAACTTTGAGCCCGATCCGGAAGACAAGGGAACTCCTTAATCAAGTATTGGAAGAAACTTGCCTTCGTGGAGGACTTTTTGATGGATTTGATGGAACTAACACAGATTTGGCGTAACATGGAGAAGAAAACCACGAAACCCTCCCACGGTTAGCTTGACGACAGCACTCTAACCCATTATCCGTCTACCACTGAGGATGTTTTACGTCAGCATTGTGATCGGTGCGAGTTGGGTGCGGAATGCGAATCCACCGGTCATCGCTGGGGATCGAACCCGGTTCACCTCAGCGGAAGGCAAGCACTCTATCTCCTCAGCCACCACGGCTGGAGCGTGATGTATTATTATTTTTTACTTAATTCATCATATAATCCTTATCTCGATTCATATTCATGAAACAAAAAGAATATCACAAGCATCATCGCAGCATAAGAAAAATATGTATTGAAATAAATCTAACAATTATGAAAAATCCTGAAAAATTCATTAAGAATCATTAAATAAAGCTTAATTAAATGCAAATATAATACTAAAAATTTTAAAATTAGTCTTGTTACGATGTTTTTAACATTAAAAAAAAGATAAACCGATTTAAATAACTATTCCTGAATAATATTAAGATAAAGCGCTCTGATTCAATTTATTCGTAAGATAAAGAACGCAAAAATAAAAGAAACGCAAGTCGTAAATGAAAGCGATAATATTATTCTTAAGTATACAAAAATCTCTACCTGATTAGAAGGATGAATATTCTGATCCCTGGAAAAATCTTCCTCTCTTTGGCTTCCACATTCTTCTAAGTTAATATAAACAGAGGTTCCTCCCTTTTCCAATAAATTACGAACTGCTTGATGAATCAGCTGTCTGTGTTTGGGTTGCCGGACCCCGATGGCATCGAGATCCGGCTCCCCGATCTGCTTACACGTCTCCAAGTCATCATAACCGTTATCTACAAAGCTTTCATAGTATTGCTCAAGATCCAAATATTTTAACCACTCGCGTACAATATTTTGATCACTCATTACAGATATTAATCCACATGGTCACGTGATTCTTGTATTCACAAAAACAAGGCAAAAGAATAAAGGTAGTTTAGGAACAAATAATGATTGTTAAACAAATTATCACAGTTAGTCAACATGTTTTTGTTTAAAAATCAAGCAATTCTTTCTTATGTTTACTAATTGAAATCTCTATTTATTTTTATATTAATCAAATTAACACCGATTATTTTTTATATATATCTGCTTATCTTATAGCACAAATAATTAATGTTTTTGTATTCAATAATTGTATTTAAAGTTTTTAATTATTGATATGAAAGTTTGGAAGCATAAATGTTGTTAAATCAACTTCGTTAAAATCAAGAAAAATTTCTTTGGAACAACGTGACTTCACGAAACGAAGAACCTACTTCACATGACTATCGTCGCCGGCAGTAAATTCTCTTCTGATAGTTGCTTGCCTCTATAACCGGCAAGTAGATTTTTTTCGCGCCGGCGCAGTTGAAACATTTTATTTTGTTTGGGAAGAGGTTGAATTTTTTGACCCACTCATTCTACGAATAATGCCAAGAGAATAAAAAGCTGTATTAAGATTAGGATCATAATTGGTTTTAGAATTTAGAATAAATCTATTAAAACTGCGAAAAAAATGGAATCAATTTTTATTTTATTTTCGCTTATGCATATACGAGCTCAAAAATATTGTTGCATCTACTTTAAAAAGAGAAAACTATATTCACTTTATTAATAATTCTTTTTACTATATTCATCTTTAAGAAACTTAGATAAAATTCTTCGTAAGAATTAAAATATAAATGTATAAAAAGAAAGGTACACTGCAAAAAATTCTGGATCAAATTAGGGTACATCATTTTGGGTACATCATATGTAAATTCCATTTTACCGTAAAATATATTCTTACCGTATCATAATATACCGTAATTTCTATCAAGTATATTATCCGTACGCACTATTTATTAAAGCTTAAATATCTTTATGGAAATGAAAAGTATTTCTTAAATATTTTAAAGGTTCTTAAGTTTTGCAAATATTTATTGCCGTTAGTTTATTTTTGTTTGATTTAATATAAACAAATGTAATAAGAAAACAACTAGCATTTCCTTCAGACACTCTTCAACATGTTTCAACAGGTCAATTCTTTTGTACAACATTTATAATGCTCAATATTCCTAATACTATACAATACTTAATGCATTAAATCTTTGATGAATAACTCAAAATTGAATGAGGAATTTAAAAAAAAGTGAATTTCAGTTTAAAATGTATTTTAACTGGATTAATTACTTCTTAAATTTATTTTTAAATTACTATTATGTAAAGAAAATCAAATCCAAAAAAAAAAAATTAAAAATATACCAGACATAGTAATTTTCAAACTGCGTTCTTGATTCTTCTAGTTTTACTCAATGCTGAATAACAAAATCTGTTTTAGTAATGCAAAAAAAAAAAATTAAAGGCAAGGAAGAAAGAATTAAAATATTCTTAATTTTTATCTAAATAAGACATTCAGATCAATAAATTCGCTTTATAGATAACTTTCGATTTATAACATAATTACAGTGCCTTTATTTAATTTTTTTTCTAAATAAATAAACTAATATTGAAATATAATTAATAAAATTCCTAATGTTTGCAATTTTATATTTTTAATTAAAATTTTAGTTTAGAAATATAATTTTTAGTTTGGAAAAAGTTAGTAACATCTTGCGTTAATCTGTTAAATGTGTTGAAATTACGTTTTACAACCGAATGTAAAAGTATAAAAAAGTAAAAAACCTAAAAATTATGAACCTAAATCCTAAAATTTTATCCAATAGTTCGTAATTATTTTAAATATCTCGTAATAAATTATCAGTTGACATTAATAACTGAAATCAAATAATAGAAAATCTATGTATAGAAAACAGATGAATATTTTAAAAAAAGCTAGTTGAATGATCAAAATTAGTTTGTGTCTAAATCAGCATAATTTATTAGAAATAATATTGAGAAAACTTGAAATTAAAATTTTTAGACGCTTATGCCAACTATTTATCGACTATCTCTTTTGACGCACAAAACCTAAGGTCAAACCCACACTATAGTTAGTTGGTACTTAAACTGCTCTGGAATCAAAGTTGCCATAGTTTCGTTACATACATTAAGAAAAATTATAAGTGTGGGCTTGATCTAACTATGGGATATAATTTATAGTTTTTCTCTACACGTAACAATAAAGATGCTTCATATACTCAAAATGTATTCCTCGGTAAGTTATTTTAAAATGACAAAATAATTCAGGAAACACACGTTTAGAGCACAGTATCAAATAAAGCGTAAAACGTGGTATAAGTAGTTCAAAACTAAAAATAATAATCATGGAAAAATTGTATTTTGAGTATGATGTCACTCAAAATATGTCCCACTGACAGTTGTTGTTCCAAGGTGACAAGAATAATATTTTGCAGTTGATAGTTGATACCACTCAAAATGTATCCTATTGACAAAACAAAGTTGTTTTAAAACAATAATAGAATGTAGAAGGAATGCAATTTAAGTATGATAGCACACAAAACGTATTGCACCGTCATAAGTTGTTTTAAAATGACTAGAAAAAGAAGGAAGAATGCAGTTTAGGGGTGATATTGCTCAAAACGTATCCCACAAGCATAAGTTGCTTCAAAGCGACAAAAAATTACAAAATATATTACACAAATTTTAACAAATGGGAAAAAAATCTTAATGGTTCTACAGGGTTACTTCAAATAAAGTAATTATTTAGTGTAGACGATATTTTATGCTACGAAATCAAATACGTTCTTTCTCTGAATAAACATACCTTTTTATCGACTTATTCAGATTTCTGACCCCCAAAACGCAATCTGGGAGATATGGTCCTTATGGTTTTGTCAGAAGAGCTGTCAAATTCTTGGACCACTTAGTTTTAATTTTACATTTTGCGTATTTCACCTTATTTCGAGATTTTTTAACTGAATTAAACATATGTTGCGCATAAATATAAAGTCAATATTAGTAAATAATAATTATTTTTATCATTTTATTTAATAAAAATTGAAAAATTTTGAATTTTGGGGTAGTAATGTTTTTACATCATTATAAAGTATTTAATTTTACAAAGTACGAAACTCGTGTGAAATTGGCTGAATAATTCGCAAAAAATCAAATTTTAAAAAAGTCGTATATTTAAAATTTGATTTCTCGGGAACTATTTGAGCAATTTCGCTCAAATTTTGCATTTTCCATGTAAAATTAATAAATTGTCTAAAAACATTGTATACTTTACAATTTAAAATTTTGCATTATTATAAAATAAAATATTTAATGTTTACAAATTTTTTTTCATTGAAATTATCTTTGAATAAATGAATTTTATTATTGCGTGCAACAGTTTTTTGATTCGATTCAAAAGTTTTCGAATTATGGCGAAATACGCATAGAAACAAATTTTCACTAGTTGGGGTGTAAATTTTGGATTGATTACCTGACCAAACTATTATGACCATATTTTCGATATCACGGTTATTCCCTATATTTTGGGGGTCAAAAATCCGAGTCCATATAAAAAAAAAGGCATGTTTAGTCAGAGAAAGTGCATTTTTGGGTCCGATTTTGTAACTTACAAGATCATCTGAATTAATAAATTAGCATATTTGCGTCACCTTCTGGAGCCATTAGTGTGGTGTCCTAGAGCGGAAAGATGCTATAATTGGATCAAAAGTTATGCAGGGTTGCCCATTTTTTTCTAGGGCACTGTAAGCTAAATAAAGCTAAATAATAGATAAGCTCACGAAAGCTTGTGCAAGTTCCAATGTTTAATACACAGAAAGATATATACGAAATTTCCATCACGGAGAAATATTTATGGAACTTTCACTTGAATGCTGGGGCAAATAAAAAAGCTACGCATTTTTATTTGAAAATGCGGGAATAATAGAAGAACTTGCGTCCAAATGGTTTAAGTTCCTTGTTTCATTAAAAAGATTAATTACTTGTTAGAATAATTAGTTTATCGTTTTTTTATTTTTTTTATTTATATTGAAGTTCCCTGCAATTGTTTAATTTTTTAATTTATTTATTTTATTTTAGTTCCCAAAAATTCTTCGATAATTATTCTTATAACATGTTCCGTGTTTATGAAGATAAAAGTAAATTTTATAAAGTGAATTACGCCTACCGACCTGTGTAGGGTTTTGGGAACTGCCCTTGCATCAGAAAGATTTCGGGTTCGAATTCCGGACAAGGCATGGATGTTCTTTCCTTCTCTGTACTATCTGTCTTTACTGTGGGAGCAACGTTGACCCAACTAATATGGTGCCCCTGAAAGAATGGTCAACAAATCTGCCCTTCAGATGCCTGTATGACCTAGGTCATTCTTCAGGTGGGCATTGGGAAAGAAAAAGAGAAAAATAAAATAAAGTGAATTACTGTTTATTTTAAATATTTAAATTTCACACCATTTTACATTTTCTTAAATTTATTTCAATGTGGAACAAAATAATTGTTTGATATTTATATGAATGACATTCAGCGTTAATCTTTTCTAACAGAATTTATCATATCGTTTATAAATTACTATTTAATTTAACTATTAAAATTTCTCCCCAATTTACATTTTCTTAAATTTATTTCAATGTGGAACAAAATAATTGTTTGATATTTATACGAATGATATTCAGCATAATCTTTTCAAACAGAATTTATCGCATCGTCTGTAAATTACTATTTATTTTAAATATTTAAATTTCTCCCCAATTTTCATTTACTTAGATTTATTTCTATGAAGAACGAAATAATTCTTTGATATTTCTATGAATGATATTCCGCATTAATCTTTTCAGACATAATTTATTGTATTCGAACTTATCGTATAAGAAAATGAGACAAACAGATATTAATTAAAAATATAACAAAAAACCTTTTAGATCTAGTTAGCAGATACATCCAGATAGCAAATAAATCCAGTTAACAAGATATCTTATGGCAAACACTCTATTTGTGATTTTTTAAATGACAGAATGAGGTTGACTGTTTTGTCATTATTCCTGCAAAGCAGAAATGCTTCAATGCCCATATTATTTTTTTAAAGACTCAACAAAGGCGTGTATAAACCTTTACAGAAATTAAAATTTTTAATCTTTTATTCCAAACCTTTTTTTTTTTCAAAACTTCTTTCCCTTCCGTTTGTTAAGGTTTTTATGTGCAACATTTTTTTAATGATGATGTGTAGTGTGCAGTGTTTTTGGATTCAATCTTGATACCGGATCTGTTTTACTCAATCTTAATGTGAAACTCAATGCGAGTAAACTAGCATGGTAAAATTCAACTTTGTTTCAAGCTTGCTTGGTTTATTTGCTAATCTTTTATTAACCTTGGTAGGGTTGTGTGATATAAGTTGCTGCTACATTAAGATCTACC